CACACACACACACAGAGTAAACACACACACACACACAAACACTCTCTTATTGCCAAACACACAGAGTAATATCATGTGCAGGTCTGGATCAGAACGTAGTTTCTCAGAAATATTTCAGCCGCCCTTAACTACCATTGCCCTGTTAAATATAAACACTGTAAAAGCACCGGGAGGTCTTGCTTTTACTTAGAAAGACAGGAAAAGGTGTAGTTGGTGGAACAAGGCGTAACAGATGAGCCATGACTAATCAAGAAACGAGGAACAAAATGCCCTCAAAGCATCGGCTGATTTTTGCAGCATACCATCTGGTACTTACAGGGATGTAAAAGGTGTTCATTTTGGGGTCTTCATTGGCAGTGAAGAGCATACCTGTAAATCGGGTCACAGAACAGCAATCAGAAAACAAACACACCACTCATGGGACATAAAACCCCCATATACAGTGAGTCAGCTGATGTGTATAGAGTGAGTCACGCTCTCCCAATGGGTCACATTCGAGCGGTGTAAATATAACGTACTCCTCATAAACAATAAACAGTCTATAACACAGAACTCGGTTTACTACCATTCAAAAGTTTGAGGTTGGCAAGATTTTGGTCTGTTAAGTCTCTCACGTTCACCAAGGCTGCATTTGTTTGATAAAAAACACATTAAAAAAAGTCTCGTCATTTTAATTAAAACAATTCTATTGCATTTTTGTCATTCATTCACACTAACTTGTGTAGTCATTGATTTTATGTGTGTGTCATCTGTTATGTAGTATTTGTTTTTATTGACTGTTTTTGAACAGTTGTTGTTTCTAATAGTGCTATAGAAATACAGTTGACATTGACTTCAAGAGCTGAAAATTGTATAAAATGGTCTGTGAAATATTAAAATAAAAGATTTTGTATAGGTGTTATCGTAGCGTTGTAATAAGTTTAATTGTATAATTAAAATAAATTTTATACATGCATTTTCTATTTTATAAATACTTATTTAGTTATGTTTGACAGAAAATAGCAATAAAAATGAATGATGATTAATAGAATTTGCACTACTATTCAAAAGTTTGGTGCTGGGATGATTTTGTTTTACGTTTATTTGATCAAAAATACAGTAAAATCAGCAATACTGTGGAATTATTACAATTGAAAATAACCTATTGTAATGTATTTTGAAATGCGCAGCTGTATTTTCAGCATCATTACTCCAGTCTTCAGTGTCACATGATCTTCAGAAATCAGTCTAATATGCTGATTTGCTGCTCAAGACACATTTCTGATTATTATCAATGTTGGATTTTTGAAAGGACTCTTTAATTGGATAATGACAGGCTGACTGCACATTATCACTTTGTGTGTCACAATGTGACAAATCAAATCATTTTCTTCAATCCTTTAAAAAAAAAAGGCTATAATATAATAGTTATTTCACCTGCTAACCCTGAGCTTTCTGTGTCATTCACTTCCATTTTAGCTTGTTATGCTGCTTGATTCTGCAGACTGGTATTTCTTATTTTATGTTAATGTATTGTCATAATTATAAACACACAGGTTTGTACTGAAAATAGTTTTACCGTTTTTTTACCTAGAGCTAATAATCGGAAGTCTGGCACATTCACAGAATCTAGCTTACTTTAGAGTTAAAAAAAGGTGGATATTACCTAATAAAATGAATATTATATTAGTCTTTCGTTTTAAAGGGGTTTTTAGTGTTTCGTTTAAGACGTGCTGCCAAACCATGACTAGCAATTTGCTATTGTAAGAGACGGTCACATCCTAAAAAATTAGATGAGATCAATCATTTTGGTCTGCTTTCCAGTAAGAGAAGGATTATCGCTTCTAAATATGCTACAAAGTTTATGTTGGCATCTTTTGAAAAACTTGTTGCCTCTTTCCCAAAAAGACTCATGGCTGTATTCGATCAAAAGGGTGCTTCTACTAAATACTGAGCAAAGGGTCTGAATACTTAGGACCATGTGATATTTCAGTTTTTCTTTTTTAATAAATCTGCAAAAATGTCAACAATTCTGTGTTTTTCTGTCAATATGGGGTGCTGTGTGTACATTAATGAGGAAAAAAAATTTACTTAAATTATTTTAGCAAATGGCTGCAATATAACAAAGAGTGAAAAATTTAAGGGGGTCTGAATACTTTCCGTACCCACTGTATGCCACGAAAAGCCAATTTGGATTTCAAGGGGTCAGTTAGAAACGAACTAGTATCTTCTTGTGGTTAAACTTCAGTTCTATTTGCGTGAACTAACCGGAGCCGGGGTAGAGACACACATCATTGATGTTGGCCTGCGGTTCGATGGAGGAAAATACTTTTCCCTGAAATTAAGACATTAAAAAAAAAAAAGTTACACATTTGATGTTTTTCCTTCGAAGGGGTTCATTGCTGGACGTCTGGATCAAAGCCGGTCTTACATTGTCTTTATTCCACATCTTGATGATTTTGGAGTCGGCGGAGAGCACCAGGTCCAGCGGGTTGTGGAAGTGAAGGGATTTGATGGGCAGCCCATAGTAATGATCTTTAACCAGCAGAGTTCGTGAAGAACGAAGATCATAGACGAGAACCTGAGGACACGTCACAAATGAGCACTGCTAGTCGTTCAGCAGAGTAAATGTGAAGAGTTTACTGATTTGAAACTGAGCAATCTCCTCAATGTGAGAAATAAAACTGGACCTGTCCCGTACTGGTGCCCACTGCCATGCCCAGAGAGCCATTAAACTTCAGCGCGCTGACAGACGGCAGACCTTCCACCCTTCAGACAGGAGAAAAGCACCGCAGGATGAGGTTATTACTCACGTTCTTTGACTGATAACAGTATTAGACTGGAGTAATGCTGCTGAAAATTCAGCTTTGGATCACAGGAATAAATTACATTCTAAAAACACTTCTTTTCATTGTTTTATTATTTATTTATTTTTCTTAAAAATAAAAAAAATCTTTAGTAAAACTCAAGTAAAACTTTTACAGAACCTGACCTTTTGATCGCTAGTGTTTTAAGATGCTATATTATATTTGATACGCAATCGCTAGGGCTCTAAATGATCAACATGATCACAAAAACCTGTTTCACACACAATCTACTACATGACTTCTGTTGTCTGATTGATAGTTTAGATTTTATTATTTATATAATTTTTTTTATCTTTTGCGGAGTGTTTATTTGTTCATCTCTCAATTATCATTATATTGCATTGCATTATATGCTTGGATCATCAAACTAAGCATTTCAATCTCATCTTATTAAAACATATTATTGGCGATATAGAGTGACGACTGATATTTATAGCATTTTATGTCAGTATCGTCTGCTGTACTGTTATAAAGATCTCACTGATTTACATTACAAGCATCAGAATTTCATCTGGCTTTTTGTCCAAATAAATATCAACATTTGCATCAAATTTCATATTTTTGCTCAGTTTGGGTCTCTGAATAAAACTGACCTGTCTATTTTTCTTTGATATATTATACTTGTAACGGGGCTGACGAGACGTGAGACGTGTGGATCCATCTGCAGGCTTTATTAAACAGACGTGGTAAACAGGCAGGGTCAAACAATGGCAAACAGGTATGTGGGGGGCAAAACACAAGAATAGTCCCTGGGCTAGCGTAGGTCACCGATCGGCAGACAGAATCACAGGGGCGAGACGAGAGGGAAAAAAACAGGAAAACAGGCAAAGATCAAGAACCGCGAAAACAGGCAAGGCAAAACAAGGAAACCACAGAGACTAGGAATGGGGTACGGGCTAAACAATACTCGGCAGTGAATGGTAGTTTGAGTGAGTGTTAAATAGTGAGTGAGTGATGTGAAACAGCTGTGTGCAATCAGTGAAAACAGCTGTGTGCAATCCGTGCTAAGTGCAATCAGTGCAATGAATGATGGGATATGTAGTCCGGGATGATAAGCAACAGTAGGTGTAGTGCGAGAGTCAATGTAATGGAAAGGGTGACCTCTAATGGTGAATGAACAGAAGTCCATGGACAGGATTCGTGACAATACTATATGAGCCAAAAAGCTGGATGCATCAAATATGATACTCGTATGCAAACTTTTATATATTCTTGGTAACACTTTACAACAAGGTTCATTAGTTAACATTAGTTACCTACTTTAGTTAACATGAACTAAGCATGAACAACACTTCTACAGCATTTATTAATCTTAGCCAATGTTAATTTCAACATTTATTAATGCATTACTAAAATCAAAAGTTGTGCTTGTTAACATTAGTTAATGCACTGTGAAGTAACATGAACAAAGATGAACAAATACTGTAATAAATGTATTGTTCATTGTTTGTTCATGTTAGTTAATACATTATTGCAAAGTCTTACCTATTTTTTTTTTTCTTTTTTATAATTATTGTTTTAAGATTTTGTCTAAAGGGTCAATCAATTGTTCCAGTTTCCAAGTTTTCTGTCCAGGTTTACAGGGTTAATCATAATCCAATGATTGAAATGTTTATGACACCGATATTATAAGCCTGGATATTTATATTTACTTCAATATCTCAGGTCTTCTGAAGCCATATGATAGCTTTGAAGGACAAAAAGTCTGAAACTTAAATTATTCACAGAAAATCTAGTTTAACAGCTGTGGTCACCATTCACTTTCATTGCACAGGGAAAGAGCGGAACATTTCTCATGTATTAATGGCAAAAAGAAAGTCTTATGAATAATAAAACACAAAATGGTGAGTTAAAAAAATGACAGATTATTCATTCTTGGGTGAATGGTGAAATATTTCTTTAAGCCGTATATGAGAATAACAGAGATGCATGTAAACTTACTCAGTCCCGTTAGTGATGCTGCTGAGAGCGCAGTCCAAAACACCCACTCGACTCCGGACACGAGGGTCCCAGCAGTCCACTCTGCCCTTCATTTTTTTCATAACTGATATCTGGTCAAGATTCAACTTAGTGACCTGAGGGCCTTGAGTTTCTCTCAACTGATATAAAACACAAGCTTGTGGAGAAACATGAAAATAAACGACATGGAGCTTGGTGTTAAACCTCAGTTTAGTTCATGTTCATCTTCATCTTTTCACATGCGTCACAAATCATCCTGTGCTCTACAGGTATCTCTGGTAATGAGGTCGTCTAATGCGTTATGACGTATATTAACGCACACACACACACACACACACACACACACACACACACGCGAATACTAACACAAACAGCAGTCCTACACTCCTACCTCTAATGTTCCCGCAGCAAAAAACTGATGAACAGGGTTGATGTCACACACATTGATTTCTCTGTGAAGACATGAGATCTTTACAATTCATACACGACTAAATCTGTGATCAATGCTTGCCTGTCCAACAGTATCATCTAATGAAACGTGCTGTTTTGCATCTCAAACTATTATAAACAGCATTTGCTATTCCTTTCTCATGTTATCTTGTTATATAATTGCGTTAAGCACACGATTGAGACTTCAGCATTTTAATAAAATCAATATACTATTATAGTTTGTTAATTTTCTTGATTTTGTTTTTATATTTTCTGTTGAAATTTTGTTGTATGGCATTTTTATAATTTTTTGTCTTTTATCTATTAGTCTTCGTTTGTTTCAGTTGTTTTAGTAGTTAAACTACATGAAAATGAGAAATGTTCCCTTGACAAGTAGCTGAAATAAAATACATTTATAAATGGGATTAAATTAAACAAATGCTAACCTTTTCATTGAAAGCTATCGAAAGGAAACTCGACGATTAACTGCATCACTGTATACACAAACGTTTCAACCAGCAGGTATATACAGCCACCACTGATGTGGGGTTTCAGTATGGAGAGAGGGAGCAGAAAGACCGGCTTCTATCGCACAAGCACAGCCACAACGGTGAACTAGCGCCCTGTGCTGGTCAGATACTTACGCTGCATCTGTCAGTAAGGAGTGCAGGAACCTGCCTTGTTCAAGATTCAGTCTGAAGACCTCTGAGCTACAGCGGAAACACAACACATGCACTTCACTGAGAAAACAAAGCAGCTCATACAAAGTTAGGAGTTAACGGGGTTTGCACAGCGTATGTGTATATAACCAGCACTATGACAGGCCTAAAATCAAAATGCATCGCAGATGAAAGGTCTATTCACACCAAGACTGAACTGAAAAAGCGCTCCTGGCATTCACTTGCGTCAATGTCAGATGGACAACAGACATTCCAAAGCAAATCAGCCTAACTCACCACGCAACAAAGATTTCAATGCACTAATGTACTGATAACATCATATGTAAGCTTATTACACAGCTACGTAAATGAATGGATATCAAATATTACACAACTGTTCAAAAGTTTGGGGTCGGTAAGATTTTTTTAATGCTGTTTTGCTCACCAAGGCTGCTTTAATTTGATAAAAAATACAGTAAAAACAGTAATCTTGTGAAATATTATTACAATTTTAAATAAACGTGTTCTATGTGAATATATTGTAAACTGTAATTTATTCCTGTGATGCGCAGCTGTATTTTCAGCATCATTACTCGAGTCTTCAGTGTCACATGATCTTCAGAAATCAGTATAATATGCTGATTTGCTGCTCATCAAACATTTCTGATTATTATCTGTGACGAGAGGCGCGGGGCCGAGAGCCGTGGGAACGGAGCGAGGCCGGTGGAGTAATTGATAATGAGCGACACCTGCACCACTCACCGGTCTCAAGTCTCACGGAGGAGCTCCGGAAGGATAAAAGGAGGAGTGACGACAGTGTTGGACGAGAGAGGACCAGGCCTGGAGTTTATTTTGTGTTTTGGTTTTGTTTGTGCGCGACAGTCGTCTGTGAGGGGCTGTCGCGCTGTTTTGAGTTTATTTTATTATTAAAGTTTGTTGAAATGTTCGCCGGTTCCCGCCTCCTTCTTCCCGATCTACAAACGTTGTTACATTGTCATTATTGAAAACAACATTTTTGTGGAAACTGTGATACATTTTAAGCATTCTGCGATGAATAGAAAGTTAGAAAGAACAGCATTTATTTGAAATGACAATAGTAGATGAAAATGATAAAAGCAGTAGGCAGTAAATATTTGCTCTTGGTGTGAATGGACTTCGATAAATCAAGATCTTCGGTGTGGTCTCTTACCTGGCTCCCACAAAGTAGAGATCAGAGGAAGGGTAGTGGTAGGAAAAATCTCGGCCAAACTTCGGGATGCGGGTCTTGTAGTAATGGCCGTGCTGAGAGTGGAATTCCACATAGCGGTCTATATGCAGAAACACTAGCTATAAAAAACAAAGACAAAATCATACAAATCACTTTTTATTTGCTTTTCTAGTCACATCACAGCACACCAAATCTTAAACTAGGGGGTGGGAATCACAGGGTACCTCACGATGCGATACCGATAATATCACCATACAGCAATTCTGCGATAATTGATATAATGCTAGACAATCCTATAATGACGATATCTGTCGAATTATGAAAACAAAATGCCTGTGAAGAGGTGCAGGTTCTCTCTCTTCATTCAAGTCCAAACTGCTGAAAATTCTGCAAAAAATCTGCAAAAATGAAAATTCTGTCATCATTTACTCACTCTAGAGTTGTTTTAAACCTGAATGAGTTTCTTTCTTCTGTTGAACATAAAAAAATATTTTGAAGAATGTGGGTAACCAACAGTGGCTTCCATAGTATTTTTTCCCCTTCTATTAAAGTTAATGGTGAGCAGCAAATGTTTGGTTACCCAAAATATCTTATTTTGCATTCAGCCTGTATTAAAGAAATTATTACAGGTTTGGGACAACATGAGAGCAAGTACATAATGACAGAATTTTAATTTTTGGGTGAGCTATCGGTTTAATGACAAGCAACAGCATGTTCAGTACTTTTAGTCTGCTGTCACTTTAAGAGCTGCACGCATCCGTTTTTCTCTCAACTGTTTACTTTCACTTTAGACATAACCAACTGTGTTTATGTAAACCTTGTGTGCTTTTGACAGTATTAACGCAATCAGACGCGAAAGATAACTTAATCCAGATATTTGGTGCCAGCGTATCGATTCTCGTATCGCACGGAGAAGGACAACCATATATTGCCATATCAATATTTTGTCCCACCCCTATCTCAAACCTCATGAGGACAGGGCCTCTGCCGAGTTTTAAAATCAAAGTTAAGACTTAAAAACTGCACAAATAAAATGAATATAGCTACAGTTTATTGTATAACCAAAAAAGAATGAAAGAAACAAGCCTGCAATACACCTGCACTCTTATTATTACTCCTATCTCATTCAAAAAGATGAGAGGGCTAAAATATGCACTCTTATATCCATCTACAACATATTGCAATATAAACACCATCAAGTAAACAACTCATAAATCATCAAAAGTAGATCATAGGTTTGGCATAAATGCACAGAGTTTGAACTTGAAGCATGCTGGTGTTTACAATTATAAAATTAAATAATTGCCATTTTAAGTTTAATAACCACATTAGGATGTACCACTGTATTCTGTCCCCAAAAAACCTCTTACATGGTATTTAAGACTTTTGTTTTCCATTTAAAAGGGTCATGAACGGCCTTTTTAAATAATTGTATACTGTTCTCTGAGGTCGAATTATAAAGATTTTTACATGAAAACATAAAAAAACAAACAAAAAAAACATCATAATTTAGAATAGGCTCTTTTCTGTCCCTCATCTGAACACTCTGTTTGAATAGGTGTGACGGATTGTAGACTCGGAAGTAAACACCCACTGATATGACTGGCATCGACTTTTAGTTTCAATCTTTCTGAAAATTGTGCCTTGTTTGTAAACGAATCCACAGTGAAATGAAGTGAACAAAGGACCAAGTTCTTACTGACGCGGGCTGGATCTTCATTAAAAATAAAGTTCATCCACTCTTTCCTAATGTTGGGATCAGAAGGAAGGCAATGCAAAGACTTGGCACTGCACAGCATCTTGTTGTCTTCAGAGCATCCTTATAGTTTGATTTCTGTATAGACCTGCGTTTGCTTCTCTCGTTATTTACACTACAGGTGTGAATCGGTGGGCGAGACTAAGGCTAAACAGGCAGTGATGCAGAATCGGTGGGCGGGGCTAAGCAGGCAGTGATGCAGAATCGGTGGGCGGGGCTAAGCAGGCAGTGATGCAGAATCGGTGGGCGGGGCTAAACTAAGCAGGCAGTGATGCAGAATCGGTGGGCGGGGCTAAACTAAGCAGGCAGTGATGCAGAATCGGTGGGCGGGGCTAAAC